TACAAAATTAAAAGATGATGATGTTAAAGATTGCAAGGCGTTGAGTTTTAAATTAAATTTAATGTTTGTATAATTTTAATATACTATCTTTCTTTACGAATACTGAATACTTTCATTAGATTTCAGTCTGGTCTACCAACAAGTGTGTTCAGTATAAGAAATTAATTTATACTTGCTATTTTCATGCAATTTATTTATTTTAAGGTATGATTCTGTGACAAAAACTACCATTAATTTTGACAAACCAAGTAATTTAGTACTTTCATTGCAAACTTGAATTGTATCAATCATAACAAGGTTAAGCATATATTCATAACACCATATATGTACCTGTTCAGGTGATTGTTTATTTAATTATGGCTTATGCTAATACACCATTGTATTTACCCCGTATATTACTTGCCCCATCGGTAGAGCTGCCAATACAATTTTGACATCCAAATTAAGATTCATTTTATGCTTAACAAGCAAAACCATGTAGATGTTTATCTTCACTACAATTTACAATAGCTAGTTTTTCAATTATATCGTCGGTCACAAACCTAATAATAATTGCTAGTCGTGCACATTTATATTCTTGGTAGAAACAATTTGAATTTTAAAAATGTTGCCCTTCTAATATTTTCATTAAAGATCCAATAATGTCTACTGTGGTTTTTGACGGAAAAGTAACTAAGCCACCAGGTCTTGATACAGTTTGACAATTTTTGATTTTTAACTTTTGTAAATAGCTTTGCCTGTATGTTCTTTAAGAACTGGATCATATTTAGATTTCCCGAGGTATAATGAAGGGTTACTTAATATGAGTACATCTTTTGCATCCTTGGCACCACGGTAACTTAAACCTTGCTTTCTACTTCATTTTTAGTATTTAATATATTATATTTAATAATTTATGATTTATATTATTCATTCCAAAACCCCTAAGTCTCTATCAACTTCATATCTCTTTCCAGTAGCATATATTGAGTTCATTTCAGACATAATACATTAAAGTAAAAATGCTTCAAAATTGTTTTTATAACTTTCAGATTTTTCATGTTCGATAATTCTAGTATATAAATTACAACTCGGCAAAGCCAAACAACCTATTGTAAACTGATTTATTTCAGTACAAAATACTAGTCAAAATGAACAAAAAAAAAATCCACTTATTATTTTTTAAAGTTTATTACAACACATTTTTAATAAAACGGCTATACAATTTCAATAACAATATAATATAGTAACAACAAGTGACTTGTAACAACTGCACCTACCAAAATTTAAGTAATGCAGCTAATATTTTAAGTAGAAAAAGAAATTGAAAACCATATTGGTATTTAACGTGGATAACATGCAGTCCTTAGCTTTACGGTAAATATAAGTGCTTACAAAGTATGCCTAGAAGTTATGCATTGTAGGATTCTCTTCTAACTTGCACAGAAAATAACTTATTAACTTTTCAAACTTTGTTTCAACATATTCATTATATAGCACATACCTAATAAAAAACCATTTACTAGAAGAAAACAATCATAACTATATTTTTAATTGCAATATCCTATACAATCAAAATACTATTTTATTTTAGAAAATGAATTAATGTATACATTTTTTTTTTTTTGTGTACCAAGAGTTGGCTTTGCTTTACTTAGCCCTCGTGTACCTTGGTCTAATGTTTATTTCTTCCTTAATAATTGATAACGAATTAATTTGTGGAAGAAATTATATTCACTAGTTCCATATTCTCACAGTCAGAACAATGAAAACACTTATGAATTTATAATAAAATTTCTCCTATCAAAATAACGATTTTTTAATTTTCTTTTCAACATTTAAATTTTTTCATAGAAGTTCTTAAGGTTATTTTACGTTATATATTATTTAGAATTTAATGGTAAATTAAAAACCATATTGGTATTTAACGTGGATAACATGCAGTCCACAGGTTTACGGTAAATAAAAGTGCTTACAAAGTTGCCTAGAAGTTATGCATTGCAGGATTCTCTTCTAACTTGCACAGAAAATAACTTATTAATTTTCAAACTTTTTTTCAACCTATTCATTAAGTAAGACACGAAGGGTTTTATAAATTTAAACTTTTGTAGTTACTGAACCATACATTTTTTTTCAATGTTGTGCCAGCTGCGGTCATAAGCCATTTACATAAAAAATAGAATTTAAAAAAAATAATGAAATGTCTTTAAATAATGATAAATGGTCCCATAATATATATTATAATATAGATATAAAGGCATGGTTTTAGGTCTATGAACATAACTTAAGAAACTCCGCTTCTTATAATGGCCTGAAATTAGTCGCACGATTAAACTGCCACAGGCTGTGCTGCGATCGGTATGGTTGCTACATAAAGCCACGTAGTAGGTATAGGGATTATTCATGTTTTTTCCGTTTGTTTGGAAAATATATTCATTATATTGAACCATGATCCCTTTGAAACTGTATAGCTTGTACGATTACGCATTTATACATGACGTGCATAATATTGTGTTTATATTGCATTAAAATTCAACATTTTAAGAAACCAATTTGAGTATAACGATACATATCCGTATAAAATGTTTATGGAATATACACATAATATGCACATGTATGAATGCGTACTCTTACGAGCTATACAATTTAAAATAGCAACCCTAGTGATCGCAGCTCAGCCTGTGTCCGTTTAATTGTGCGCCTCCTTCCGGAACGTTTTTTCATGCGGGCGGTCGTACGAGTTTGGACTCTTTATTACGTACCTATCGGTTTAATATTAAGCGTTCGAGAAGTTATGCGTGTGTTACACGAATACCTATCAGTGTCAGACTCAGACTTCGGTACGAGTCGGTACTCGGTACAAATTTAGTTTCTACTCGTTTTTTAATTTTTTTTGAAACATATATTTCAATGATTTTATATATATAATTTATTTTATATTTCAATGGTAAAGCTTTTTTTCTGAATATTTTGACAGTAGAATGATCAATTTTGGTTCACTAGGTTATTAACTATGGTCCTCTAAATTTTAGTATAATATACATTGATACTTTTAACTGAAATACCTAATTTACAAAAGCTAAATATTTTTTTCTTTTAACTACCTTTAAATAATTAAATCGGTAATCTAAAATGCTCAAAAAAAAAAAAAAAAACAATCTAAAAAATTGTTGGCAAACATAGATCATTATATTTTATAGTTATTTTTCGTGATATAAAATTGAGAACAATTTTATTTTATATCTATTTATAATAAATTACCTACATAACCTACCTACTTACATAATTTTTTTTCTTTTAAACTATTTTACGCGTTAAAAAATTATATTTTGGTGATAAATATAGGCCCCAAAAATCAATGGGCCCCGGGATCGTGCCCCCCCCCCCCTTAATCTGGACTTATAGCAAATTTGTAAAGTTATATTTTTACATTTTTAAGCATGTACACAATTGACTTACCGATTTTTTCTTATTGAAAATCTTGCATGTTCTTCAGAAGTTCAGACTTTGGATAATTTTTTGATTGTGCTGTGACGACTGACGGTTATTACGATTTACGATTTCTAAAGTTACTGTTACTTATCGTAGTACAATTCTTGAATTATAAACCAAACAATTATAAACAAACTGTAAATTTAAAATCAACAACCTTAACGAGTTTACGTAAAAGTGTGGTTAATGCAATTTAATAGTGGTTAAATGTTAAGTAAGCTAGTATTCCTAAAATTACAATAAAACAACTAAAATTAATATTCTCCGTTTAAATATCTAATTTTATCTCAATTTGAATTTAAAATATCTATAAAAAAAACTGTGTCTTATAATTTTTAGATTTTTGGTTATATAGTATGAACTACTTATGAGAAACCTTGTATTCAACTTTCAATAATTTTAACTCAATGAAAAATGTTAATTGATATTTATAGAAAAGAAAAACTAAAAAAATTGTGACACGAAAGTTATTGAAATAATTCTTCGATTTTCAACTTCAGTTATTTTTCCTGGTGGGAAGGTTAATCTATAGTTATTGCTTTCGAGAGGTTAATAATATTATATAGAAATACAAAATCATTTTTCGACCAATTCGAATTTGGTTTTTGGTTAAACTATAAAAAAAAAGAACTGATGATACATTAAATGTTCACCGAATGTTTATATCAGCATTTTTTATACACTATACAATTTTAAAAATATTTTGACTCATTTGGGTTAGTTTAGGTCATCATTACTATTTTTAGGCCAGAGAAAATTTCTATTTTTATTAGTATTTTTTTAAAAATGAGTTTCAATAAAAAAATGTTGAACTTGAAAGTTTAGTACTATTAGAAAAAAGATGATAAATCCATTATATATTTTTGAGCTTCTGAAGTAAGAATTTTAACAAAACTCGTTAAAACCACGAAAATTTTCAATTACTTTTAGATAGATATTCATAGATATTTTTCTATATTTTCGTAGGTACATTTAAGAAACAAAAAAAGTTTAAACGAAACACATATTTTTAATGATCGTTTGAAGTTAATCATTGGAGATATTCACCCATAAATTAACATATTCTCATAGTACGATATTCATATTTATTGTTGCAATTTAAAAACTTATAATAGTAGATAGGTACTTTAAATTGTCACCAATTTTTCATTTATTCATTTTCCAAAGTATAATATACAATTGTCTAATTATTATTATTTTATGTTGAAATGTGGACAAAATTCATTCACGAAAATGTTCATTATTTTATTTTGTAATTAAAAATGTAGAAAATATTTAATTATTATAGCTTAAGATCAAAATGTTGAACAAGGTTTCTCATATAATTATTTCATAAATTGTAAGCAAAAAATCTAAACATTATAATATGAATACATTTTTTTTAAAAAACATATTATTTTAACTTCAAATTCGCACAGAATTAGATAACATTTAATCGGATTATAACGATTTTATTTTTTTTTTAGTTTAAAAATATAGTAACACATAAAACGGCCTGACAGATTCTCTTCACTCAGAAACATATTTCGTTAACAACGATTTTCATACATAATTCCATTCAAATTTAACACATCCATCACCCACACAACATTTACTGGTACACCTAGAACAGTGGTGCAAATATTTTTTTTCTCACACCTGCACCAAAAGTTTGATTTCCGATAGCGTTTGAAGCGTTCGAAAGCGTCCTTTTTCCGTCCAGCTGGTGGTAAAGTGGGGATCTCCAATAGTGCCGGGTGGTAAAGTGGAAATCCCAAAAAGTGCATGGCGGTAAAGTGGAAATCTCCAAAAGTTATATGTGTGACAAAAAATAGTATGTGTGGCTCGCGCGGGAAGGCCATATCAGTCTTGGGCGAAATGCAGACCTCGCCTACGGCTCGAGCCCGCTCCTGAAATGGCTCACTTGCCACACAATATACTATTATATTTAGGAGCTATAAATATACGTACCCGAAAGTTATTATTTTAGAACTATTTTATCCATATTGATAGGTTTAATACAACAAACAATGCATTAAGAATTTTAACTCCTACCTATTTACTCTGAAATCATGAAATGTAAATTATTATAAGATTCCTAATAATAAATATTATGTATAATAATTTTTTTTTTTATTTGAACCAAAATGAGAATTATACCGATGCTCGTCGTGTGGACTGTATTTCGACCAATTAAGCCAATGGCATAATCACGATGAGTTACACAAGCAGCTTGGAGATTACGATCCTAGTAAACTTGTAATTCGAATTGACCAAAATAATTTTGTTGTGAATTGAAGTGTTTAATGTTTTTTCTTTTTATTAGCTGTGGTTTTTGGTATTATTGTTTTTTATTTATTTTTATGATTTTACAGTCTGATAACATTGTTTTCCTAAATTTAGCATTCTTTTTTTTTTATATACATTTAACATTTTGTATACTTAATTGTACTTTTGAATTTTTGCACTAAATTATTTAATGTCTAAATTCCTAAATTAATTATGAAATAGGGTAAAATGTGCGGTTATGAACGGTAAGTGTGCGGTTTTGATGACTATACACGAAAACAAACGAAATACCGGACAAGGTGTAGTAGGTATATAATTATAATAATAATAATAATAAGTGCATTAATAAGTGTGTGTGTACGCCGATTAAAGGATTTTAAATTAATTGAATAAATCTATAAAATAGTATATTATAGTCACCAATCAATATAATGTATTTATAGTAATAAAACTATTTTGTGTATATTCTAGTAAAATGTAAATTATTAAGAACACCAACAAATAATAATACAATATATATAATATAAACCTATTATATGGAATATTTTATTTTGGATTTCGCGCCCCTTTTTCATTGCACTGCTGGCCTGGGCCAGTCTCGCCAAGCCCTAGCTACAGGCTACAGCTCTGGGTGTATAATAATAACAATAATAAGTGCATTACCCAATTCTGTGTGCGGTGCTGAGTATCGTCTCCAAGACGTCTTCGGTGAGGTGGTGTTTTTACTCGCTCGTGTTGTCCGGCAGAGAGGCAGAATAAAATTAAAAGGGCGTCGGACGCGTCACACATCACGAGCAAAAAAAAAAAAACTATATCATATAATAATTGAGTAATGAGTGATAATATTGGCCTGTGACACGCGCACACTATTTTAGTGACACACTCAACTGTGTAAAAAGTTACTGGAAAAATCACTGGTCGTAGGACGTAGACTAAAATATATTGAGATTACATAAATGAAATATTAAGTTTAAGGTATTATGCCTAAACGCATTGCATTGAATATCTACACTGCTCAACAACTATTAATTTTATTACTTTTCGATAAGAAAAACTTATTCGATAAGAACTTTATTAGGTATATATATTTTATATAACGGATCAGCTTCAAACTGATTTAGCTTCAGCAGACTTTTTTTCGATTTGTCTTGATGAAAGTACAGATGTAACTTCTCAGACTCGTTTAGCAGTTTTTGTTCGATTTATTATTGTTAATATTATGAAAGAAGAATTAATAAAATTAATAACAATTTCTACTAAAGCAACAAACTGGTCGTGATATTATGGATGAAGTACATAAAGAGTTTATAAATTTGAAAATCAATATTCAAAATATTGTTTCAATAACTACTGACGGGGCTCCAAATATATGGTTGGTAAACACAATGGATTTATTAAACTTTTTTCCAATGAAATTTCACATCGTATAATCAACTTTCACTGTTTTATACACCAAGAATTATTAATTATTTTATTTGACTTGTGTTTTTATCATTCAAACCATAGATGTAGGAATTTTTAAGTTTAAAGAAGGGTTATCAAACTAGTTGACACGCGAGGAAAACAAAATCCAACCAACATTTTTATTTGACACGCTGGTACAAAAAGGTTCGCCATCCCTGTATTAGATAATGACGTAGGGCCGGCCGGTCGAACTCGACCGCCGGGCTAGGCATCAGTGATAGTGTGTGTGAACGCCGATTATAATAATATATATTGAGTATCATCGTTTTCAGTGGCGTATTTACGGGGGGGTGGTCCATGGGGTCCGGACCCCCCCCCCATTGCCTAACGTTGCCTTAACGTTAAATGTTGTGTTTTTACATGATTAAGAAAAACAAATTTTATCATACGATACGAAGAATTTTATAAACAATTTTCGAAGCTATAGTTATCAACATTTTCAATAAATATCTTGATTATTTTTATCAGTTTGGTACCGAAAATGGTTGAAGAGTAAGTACCAAGTTCAATTTTAATTCAAATATTTTGTAGTTTTGTACATAGCCATTATCTACAACCACTCCAGAGAGATCTTTTTCAACCTTTTTAAGGTTGAAAAGCTATCTATAAGATCAACTATGAATGAAGTAGGTACCTAAAGTATTTAAGGAAATATTTGTATAAAAGTTATAACATAACTATATATTAGATTCTGAGCGGAGATTCTTATTGGTTTTACAATACTGTTTATTTTTTTTCCTGAATACAAAATTTCTACTAGAAGGAGTGCTTCGATTTCAACATGTATAGACCTATAGTATCTTATCTTTTAGAAAATTGGATCAAGATGGTACTTTAGAGAGGTCATTTTTCGATTTTCTCAATAATTATTTAATGCCTCGGGAAAACCCACCGAAAAATTACTAAAAACCGCTAAAAATGGGATTTTAATTTCTAACGCTTTGTCTATCACCATAGAAACGAATAAAAAAAATAAAAAAAATATTTCATTATTAATTCAACTTACAGGCTATAATAAATAATAACAATATAAAATATCCAGACTGACAAACCGTCTCCGCTCAGAATCGTTTTTCTTATACAATGATATTATGATATTATATCATTGAGCTTAAGTTTAATACAATCCATTATGTATTGACCCACTTGTAACCTACTGTACAGCAGCAGAGCGACATCCATTTACCGCTTTTTTTTAAATTTGTTTTGTACATAATATAAACATATTATTATTTAACAATTAAAAACTCGAAAATTTTATATCGTCTTATAAATATGGTATATATTTATTTAATAAAGAGTAAATGGGGGGGTGAGGGGCTTTGCCCCCCGTGGATCTGTGTTCTGAAAATTATCTGGACCCTCCCCATGACAAATTCCTAAATACGTCACTGGTCGTTTTGTCTTGGGTTCGGGCAGAGGTGACTAGGTGAGTACTATCACATAATATATTACACATTGTTATTACGATTGTTCATTTTCGATCGTTACAATCCATCGAAAAAAATATTTTATTTTATTTTTAAAAAAAGTATCCAATTACGCGTACAGTAAAAGTGAGTGAATAGAAACGAAATGTCGAAATAAGTTTCATCGGCCAATAACTACAATCCAAGTAGAACTATATTATATTTCATGAGTTGTTGTTGTATTAAATAGCTAATAGAAACGAATGAAGAAACGAACGCAATTGATAACTATTTACCTCCATAATAATTGTTGACAAAAAATCGATCGAGACGAAAATTATTCTACATCCAAAAAATGTTTATCAAATTTGTTATCATGGTTCTCATTGACGAAATGTGATGACTCCAAAATTTTTTTCTTACCGTTGTGCGTGGTTATTGAAAATGAATTAACGTAAGTATCAATCCTAGTTAATTAAATGACCATTTTTTATATTTTTTTAATCTGGACATTTTGTATTTTGGGTGAATAGAAACTTAGAAAATAGAAACTATTTTTTTTATATATCATAATGTTTAATTAATGTTTTCGTTTTGTAAGTAATATAACTAAATTAGTTAATATAATAAACTTAGAGACTTCATTGATTTGGGGCTTGAAGAGTTATGTAATTAAATAAAATACTTCTATTGGTATAAAATATGTTTAAAATGTGTTTTTTTTATAAGGTTAAATGAAGACTATAACTAAGTATTGTTTTTTTTTTTTTGAAATTCAAAATTATGTTTCTATTCAACCGCATTAGAGTTGAATAACAAATTTCTATAAAAACTAAATAGGTGTTTTTTACCCACACCTGCGGGGTCACACTTAAAACAATTTATAAAATATAATTGTATAGTAAGGTAATCATTAAAATTGCTATCCTGAACTACTCGGTAAGACCCAAATTTTGATGTACCTACTTTAAAGTGTGCACGATTTAGATCCAGGATATAACAACAGAAAGGTGTAAACATGTTTCTATTCACCCACTTTTACGGTAGGTACTTAGTAAAGTAATTACATGCTGGTCTTATTTATTATTATATTATGTAAAACATAATTTACTTTTTAATTAATTAATTAACATAAACTATCATCTATGGTTAATTTAGTTTTAATACCAATGTTAATTTTGTGTTCTTGGTTAAATTTTATTTTTAATTGTGATTTTCTTTAAATTAATTAATTATCTATGCTGTCTATTTTAAAAATCCTTTTTCCACTAAAATTATTAAACATTTTTAATATTTTATGTGAATAATCGTTTTCTTTTAATTTTAGCCTGTGTCTTGTAGTAGTATATACGCAGATATACGGATAGAAAATTTAATACAAAATAATGTATGGGTAAGACATATTTTTTTTACTATAAGTACCTAGATTTAACCTTATCCTTATAATAGGCCATATTCTATTTAAATTATTTAATTATTCTAATATTTCAGTTGGACTCTTTTATTTCTCTTTCAGAACGTAATTTTATTGTAATTAAATATATATAACTAATTAACTACTATAGGTATTCATTTACAATGAAATTTTTTTATGTGAATAATTTGTTTTTAAAATTTCAGTCTGAAGCTTCTAGTAGTGGCAGTAGTTAGTTTAGAGAAATCACTAGAATAATTAACATGAAATAATGTATCAGTAAGCT